GATCAGAAGGTTCGTAGCGGTCGATCATAACGGGTGAGCGAGAACGACCGCGTGCTCGGCGTCGATCCTGAGATACTGCGTACGTACCAGTGGTTAGATTGAATGGCCGAGAGCATCCGGATGGTAGTCTAGGAGCTAGAAACTTACCAGGTGACCTGCGACGGTATGAGTCCACTGGGACCCTAGAAGCATAGGGATCGCCAGCTTCCCGGCTCCTGCCGGGGGACCCGTAACTCTCATATGAGTCCATGGGGACGAGGTTATGCAAAATCGCGTCGACCGGAGCTCTTGTAGGTCGTAACGGAGAGAATCGGAGCCGGCTACCAGACAATGGCCGTGGGTCGCGCCCAGGACGGTAAGGACAGAAGGCGTAAGCTAAGATCCGAAATGATCAACATTAGAGCAAGTCCTTCACGTGTGCAAAAGTGCCGGGTGGGTTGGACGTTGACGAAGCAGGGTTAAGGGGCGAGTTGGGCAAGAAGAAGATGCAAATGAAGCTGGTTGCCGGGGGCCGGCCATGGAAGAGATAGACAAGGCATGATTCTGGATAACGATGACAAGGGCGAACCCGGAAACTGAGAAGATGAAACGCAAGTGCGCTCGCGAGAGCCAAGAGAAGACGAGAGAAAAGAGAGGGCACAAGGTAGACAATAGAGAGTAGTTGATCAATCAGCACGGAGTGTGGTGCGAGCCAATAATGGCGCGACGATAAAAGGAGGGAGTCCAAGATGAGGTTTTGAGTAAAGAAAAAGAGACGGGATGAAGAAGCACAAGTGAGGCGCGGATCCAAGTGAATTGGATGGATGACAGGGGAAGGTTGGACTGAGATAATTGAGCAGGGGCAAGGGGACGATGAGAGACAAGGGCGCTGCAATGGAATTGACTGAACACAATAGAGAGAGAAGAGAGAGAATGAGAGAGAGGATTGAATGGCAAGGCAGGCGACCTACAAGAGAAGCCTTAAGAGGAGAGAATTGGAGATCCAACGAGATGCGAAGATGATGGACGGAGTACTAAGTCCAATCCGAGCTGAGCAGATCAGACGATATAGACGGAAATCGCAACAGACCGGGACTAATCACCGGGCAAGGCGTGATGATATATAAAAGGAAGTTTTGTGGGGGGAGTCAGAGGGAGAGGAGAGAGAGAGGAGAAGAAGAAGGGAAGGAGGAGAGAAGGCGAGAGAGGGAAGGGAAAGCAGCGAAGGAGAGAGACAGGATTGGGGAGTGAGGCTGGAGCGCCGGAGAAGGGAGTCCCGCCTAGTCCCGACCGGGCATAGCGCCCCCGGGTTGCCTTTTGGTCGCCGCTTCGTCAAATAATCAATAACATGGAGATACATTATTCATGAAACGGTGTGTACGCCTCGTCTCTCATTACCCCTAAGCAGGCTTATAGCAGGCAATTGAAAGAAATTCATCTCACTCACCTGGCATCTCGGATCCCTGAGTTTCAGGGTAATATGATTCTTTAGCAATCTGATGCTGGTAAAACCATGCCAACAACGGGTGGCAAATAGAGACGAGGGAAGCTCTCGGCTCAGTCGCAGCTATAGATTGAACCACCAAACTGGGAGAAATAGGAAGATGGAACCAGCATGGATCTGGGGGAGCAGGATTGAGAAGAGGAGCAATGCGAAGCCTGTCTTACGATGAATACAGTGCACATCTGTCAGCATCATCTATCTCGGAATTCACTATACCAATTTCACTCCCCTCTTACTTCATCCGAGGCAATGTGAAGACTCGCGGCCTGCTAACTCTATTCTACTCAAAGCACTCACACCGTAGGGACCTGCTCTAAGGTCAGGCCACGAGAACAAGGCATGCACGACTAAGAACGAGTTCGCCAAGTATGTCTTGATATTTGTACACGACTAGTAGGGGAATCATCCGTTGAAGATCAGGGTAATATATCAAACGAGGCATCAAAGGGGGCAACAGAGAAGGGCAGGAGGAAAACAAGCATCGGCTGTGACAGCCCAAGACCACCACAGCCTCGCATGTCAGACCACACTCGTCGATGCAGATTCAAAGAGAGTGGCATCGCATGGGGGCCTCGCAGCCGCACCGAAGACGGAAAGATCCCAAGTCACATTATGCACTACCCCAATGGCACAAACAGTCAATCGGGGCGTTCCATAAAATGCACGGAATGAAGACCGTCGTCGAATTCTCCAGTCGGGAACGTTCCATTTCCAAACAAATTCCCAGAGAAAGGCGACCGTCGGACAGTGCCTAGTGTTTCGACTTTTGCTGGGCAAATACGCGACACCGAACCAAGACATGCGTGCACCATCCACCGCCAAGGGATGTAGGCTCTGTCGCCGCGCCACCCAACCTCGGGGTTTAATTTTACCAGCGATGGGCTTCAATCTAATACCAACCAAGGCCCGAAGCACGACGCAAAAGAACGGATCCGGATCAAAGCGGCGGACTCAGGCACAGGGGAAGAAGGAACACAGTACACCAAAGTTGCCAATGACATTGAGTTGCTTGTCGACAAGGGAGCTTGACGAGAAGACATATAAGAAGGCTGCCGCCAGCTGTGAAAACCACGACCTTCAGGTATTAGAGACCGGGTCATGCAGCATCGACAGTGGGACGAACGTAACAATTCATGAGTTTGAGAATCGTGCACCATCCCGAGAAATGAAAAAGAAAATAACAAAACATAATCATCTCATACATGCAATCCTAACAGGCTGAACATCGTTAGATGAAAGAAAATAGGAAAATAGTAATAATACTTCGTGCCAGCATAACAATATAAACAGACATAAAAGTTTCAAACGGATGAAACGAGGCGTTTCCGACGAAACCAGAGGGAGGTGGGAATAACGTCAATAAGTACGAGAGAAGATGGGGCAGTTGCGCGTCGCTCGCTGCGGGGAGTAAAGGTCAAGGAAGACGGGGGTAAAAGAAATTCCAGACATCCATCCATCATAAAGGGCTATTGTGGGTAAGCAGGATTTTCGCAAGACGATCCTGGAGTAAGGTACCGCTCAACCATCCTCGTCGGACAGCTCAGCAGATTCGTTCTCGCTTTCGTCCGCACTAGTGCTCGGTTTCGCACTGGTTTTCGTCTTTTTAGACGAGTTGATGGTGTCATCGTTGACATCACTTGATTTTCGTTTCTGTGCAGAAGGCGGGTTATCGCCAGGAGGTTTCACCGCATTATCATCAGCGGCTTCAAGCCCAGAGGTCGTAGATCCGGATGCTTGCTTCTTCTCCATAGCAGCCACTTCGTCAGCCGTTAAGAATCGCCCGCCGGGACCACGAGGGCGGCGCATGGCATGGTTGTGACGCGATTCGTGCAGATATGGCTTACGGCCCTTGGACGTGAGCCGCAATTGCTCCTCCAGTTTTTGGCGAGCCACTCGGCGTTTCAGGATGCGATGAAACTGCTTCGCGTTCACGTATAACGGCGATTCCTCAGCGGCGCCAGCGACCATATCCGGCGAAGGTTGGCTCTGCTGGACAGGCGGCTGAGGTGGTGGCGGCATAGATGGGGGCACCGAAGGCCGGCCGGCATGATTGATAAGTGGTTGGGCATTCTGAACATGTGGGCTACTGACATGGCTCATGCGACGTTGCTGCATCTGGGCGTTCTGGGACATCTGTACCTGGGATCCCATCGATGGCATCTGGCCAGGAATCTGGGGTGGAGAACGAGGATTGCGGTCACTCTTGACCTGCACCCCAGCCATGCGCGGCGATCCGCGGGGACCAGGAGCCATCTGGCCAGCCATCGAATCTTGATGTAGAGGATAGAATTGGCCCGATGCTGCAGCGGTGGCCATTGCGGCCGCTTGGGTAGGGGAGATACCATACGTTTGTGGCATCGCCGTGGTGACTCCATACGACTGAGGGAAGTTCATTTGCTGATGTACAGAGCCCGGGGCATTTTGAGCAGGCTGATAATGAGATTGTGAGGGAACAATTGGGGACGCTTGATGTGTAGCGTGAGCTTGTTGCATGTGCGCTTGAGGGTTGGTGGGAGAAGTCATCGACCCCACCGTGGACCCAGCATTTTGAGGAGCCGTCTGATACGGGGCAGTGATGTGGGAAGAGGCGTGGGGATGCTGGCCATGAGGCTGTTGATACTGCGGCGGGTATTCCATCATGGAGCTGCGACGGGGTTTACCGTCAGGCTTCCAATTAGAGTCGTGATTGGAGTACCCTGGCTGTCAGGAACCAGGAGTCTAGGACCAATAATACGGCCAAAGATGGGCCAATCCCAAGGGATTTCACTCGTCTGAGACCGAAGTGGCGAAAATAAGGAAGAATGATAGGTTGTCAACAACACAGTTGCACTTGACAATATCACCGTCGTGCACAAAGGAAAGGCGGTTGTTTACTGATTCGACGAGTGAACTGCGAAAGTCTGCAGGCTCTGGTTCATAGTGTCAGCATGGAGCGCAGCGCCAAACGGTCACTGGATTGCGGGTGGGGGTTGGATGGGAACAGAGGAAGGGCGCTTACACCGGGGGCGCGTACCTCTGTTTTTGTTTTGCCAATACACCCACTCATCAACTTCTGGCGTCAAGAAAATTCGCCCAAAGGTGAACGCTTGTTTGCCGAAATGCTTCAGCCCGCTTTTTCCGGAGGTTCTGCGTCTTTTTGTGGAAATCTTACGTTCGCCTCCAAGTGTAACGTGGTTGGGCTTCGATGCAGGGAACCAGGATGTCCTCGACAAGATGTCGCACTTGATGCGTTGTCAGACAAAGCGCGATCTTCTTGATAATGGCGCTCAAGTCTATCACAGACACAAAGACTACGCAGTATAAGGAGACGACAACTGGCAGGCTACCTGGGTAATGCTGCTCAGTTCCTAAATTCGTCAGGCTGCTTGGCCACGTTCGTATGAGGCGGTGCTAGAGCAACCTGGTGAGTTAGTTCGCCTGGGCCCGGGAGTTTGGAATTATCCTGGTCCGCGGTCTCCCGAACTATAATGCCACTCGACGCTGTCGTCAGGGTACGCCTGAGAGGGGCTTGCACGGCTCAGTGGACTACAAAAGACTATTAGCATCTATCTTTCCCACCATCCCGAAACTTTCGGCTCCTGATTTGTGCGCTGTCACGATTGGAGGAGAGAGGGGGGGGGATAGGAACTGTCAATTTGATGGTGGTGGGGGGGTAAGGTAGGAGGGGGGGAAACATCGTGGCGGTTTAGTCTTTTCAGGGCTGAAGGATGTATGCGTTGGCAAGTGGAATCATGATGCAGCCGGCAACATACCTTGTTCAAAAGCGACGCACTCGCGACCCCAAACAAGGGTAGGCGGAGTTTTGCGCGCGCGCGCAAAAACGGCACTTGAAAACAGGGAATCAAACAGCCGTGACGGAGGAGCTATTCTGCAGTCTCCGACCGTAGAAAATCGGATGCGCGCCTATTGACAGGTCATGGTGTTAGATAGCTGTCAGAGAAGGGCAAAGGCAAGGATTGACGCGTGGTGATTGGGCCATCATGGGGCGGGGAGTCGGAGTTGCAACTGAAACGCGACAAGAAAACATAACAATGCATAAGCCATAGCAGAAGCTCACAGGGACCGGGGATGATAGGATGAGTCGCAGAGGGTCTTGCGTGCAGTACTTAGAGTACATGCGACACTAAATCTAATGGTTTGATTTGCTTTTGAAGGTGGGTAACGCCAGCCATAACTTTTGGGGGGGGGGAGGAGTAGCAGGAGGGTGGGCAGTAGGGAATCACAGCGCTGTCGCGGTTTGCGGGCCGCGGCCAGAGAGGGAGCCAAGAACAACAACAGGCGGGCTTGCCTCGTGGTTTGAAAAGGTTAATTACCTTTATCAAGGGTTATTCTCCGCAGGTGGCAGAAAAGCCTCCAATGCAGAGCAACACAGAAAGGCGACTCGTTTTAATGATTTGACGAGGGCTTTCAGTCACGAGGGAAGGAACCTGTGATGATTCGCGGGGCGATGGCAACGCGACGAAGCTCTGCCAACGAGAGAAAGGCGGACAGGCAAAAGGGAAGGTCCGTTTCTTTCACCGCACGGTAGGCTGCCGCTGATGTCAGTCCGGCCCGGGTTGATCCGCGACCGAAGCGGCAAAACAAAATGGGAAATGATAAAAACACAATGACGGAGGGGTATATGGGTATATGGAAAACAGAAGGGCGCATGCATAAGAATAAACCACAGAAATAGAGCGAATAGAATAAACGGGAAATTAAAAATAAAATCAAAAAGTGGAGTGGTTCGGAGAACAAAGCAAAGAACTCAAAAGGAATAATACAAAAGACCAAAAATAGACTAGAATCAGTGGAGAGGGCTGTAGCTTATGGTCATAGCTACTAGATGTTTGGACAGCAGAAAGCAGATGCACCAGACAAACAATGGAAGTAACAGACAACTGATGGAGCGGGGGTGGGAAAGAAGAGAGTGAGTGAGTGAGTGAGAACCTCCAATGAATTGTGAAGATCCGGCCTCGGTACAACAAAGAATACAAATGATTGGGCGCGCGTCAAAATAAAGTATGCAATCACAAAATAGGAAAAAATACAAAGTTGAGCAAGGGGCAGCAGAAGCAGCAGTAGGTAGTAGATAGTATAAGATGGCTAAAAACGTACCTTAGATGATGATTCGACCACAACCGTGGTAATGACAGAAAGGGAGGATGGAAAATGATCAATCACGAGAGTGAAGCGGATGGGGTGGGAAGGAAGGGAAAGGCGGGCAGTGATTGGGTTGGACAAGAGCAGACGGGTTAATCTGAAGCCAGCCCAAGCAAGCAGCGAGTAGGAAAAAAACAAATTGGGAGGAAACCAATGGGCTCTGCGCAGCCAGGACAGTCCGACGTTGTTGACTGGAGGGCACGCAAGGACTGGAGAGGTTGGATGACCAACGAGAGGGAGCAGAGAGAGAAAGCCGCAGCGAGAAGAAGGGGCGAGCGATGGGGCATTTGTACCGGACGCGCTCAGAGGGTAGCTGAGTGGCTCGGCAGCTCGTTAGCGGACAAGGCGGCGAGGATTCAGACCAACAAAGGCCACGACCATACTGTCCGGTATCGACCCCAGGGTTCGCTCCACTTAGCGTCTGCGCTCTTTGCCCTATTGGGTATGGCTTGTATTGTACTGCCGTCTTGTATGGTCATTGTATCTTCCGTCTTGTATGGTATCTTTCCACATCTTTTTTTTTTTTTGAGTACCAGCCTTTTTTTTCAAGGTGAGATGATGATGGTATGGGATGGTGGATGGCCGGGAAACTTTGGGGTCGAGGACACACCACACAACTCTCTTACAGTCTTACTTAGTTCTTCTCTCTCTGTCTCTCCGTGCCGCCGGGCCCAGCTTGCTCAATCTCGGTTCTTCACTCTCTATCACAAAACCAACCTCCACTATTCCCTCACCCCCCATCCCCTCCCCCTTCCCTCTCTTTCTCTCTCTCTCTTTCTCCAATTTCCCAACCCGTTTGGGGGAAATTGACAATGGGTTGAGTAAGAGTATCACATCTCACCCTCAATTCTCACCCGTGTTTTTAAAATTACATCTAAACCCCGAAAATAAAAAAAAAAAAATGAAATAAAAAAATAAATATAATTAAGAAAATAATCATTTCTTATCTAAGATAACCACCCATCATAACTACTTACTATGCAAAGCATCCGGCCATCCCGAATTCGTGATGTTCATCATGTGCAACCCAAATCTGGCGAATCGCCCTCGGGAATCAAACCTGTATGACCCAAGGTCAGCTCGACCAGCCACCCCCCATTGGTCCAGCTGGGCTTTCTTTGGTTTTGTTTTGCGAATCATGCTTTTACATAAACCAGATGGCTTATGTGACTGGCTTCGATTTGCAATCGCTGTCTTTCATCATTTCTTCTATTCTTACTTTTTCTCCTACTTGCGTTGTTGTTCGCCCCACTCTGGACGGGAAAAGCAGTAAGAAAGGCTGTTCTTCTTACGCAGATTTTTGTGCTCGGCCTTACGGAGTAGAAAACGAAAGAATAAGGTGAAACGGCTCAATGCGCAACAAACGCATATGCCACCTCGAGACGCGAAGCATTAAAGAAAAACAAAACAGGGAACGGGCTGAATAAAGTGGACAGGTAGGATTGGAAGATATTATAATATAAAATATAATAAAATAAAACAAAAAAAAAAGTTCAAGATGAAATTTAAAATTAAAAGAAAAAGAAAAGAAAAGGAAGGAAGACAAGCGCCGTGCTATCACACTGACTGACACTTTACTAATGCACAATGCAGTTTCTTGCCATGGGATCACATTGTTGTTTCTACGCAGGAAGCGCGGCTCGATTCTTGCTTTTCTTACGTACGCGTTGAATACCCCCAAACGTCAGCGGAGTCAATCGAAGCCACGGCCAGCCTCGGTTATATGACCAATCTAGGTAAGACTCCCTGGGAATCTCCATTTCCCTTGTGGCAGGTAGATAGCGGGCAAATATCAGCCGGTATGAAATGAGCGACATTGATGTCTTCGACTCAACACAGTAATTGTTGATGCTTCTCTGCATAACTTGTGAATGGAATAAAGTCACAGTGGCCAGTCTGCCCATCTTGCAGAAGAAGATTAGCCACCTCTAATTCATTTTCCCGAGATTGCGACCAGTGTGGACTACATATACTTTTAGCGGGACTCATCAACTAATGTAGGTGGATGACTCGATATATATATTTATAATCGTATCCGACATCCATCACTACTTAACCACCATTGTGCAAATCTCTTGGCTACTGATTTAGTACTACTAAACCTCAGCTGTTTACTACAAATGTTGAACTAATACAGAAGCTGGAAAATGAATGAAGCGACACTAGTATCCCTCTTCGTAGTGTTTCTGAGGTCAAGTAGTCAGGATATTCAGTTGTCGCCGGCCGAGGTCAAGTGACTTACAGAGACCTCTCATCAAGTATTAGCGTTATTAGATTTACACAGTGAAAATGGTATATTACCCAGATGTACGAGTAGCCTACCGCAGATTGAATACTGCGGATTAAGCCGCCTGTTTTCTTTTTTCGGGTTGTAGTGAACTGGTATCCATGTCCCAGTATATTTAAGGTGAATTCGAGGGACTAAGCCATTGAGTCTGCTTAATTTGAAGAGAGAAAGGCAGGCGAAATGGTATTTGACCGTCACAGTAGATTAGATCGAATAAAATTACCATGGCATTATTTAAGTCATAAGTTGCATGTTGTACAAGAAAAGCCTTATAGACGCTACTAAGACCAAGGGCCTTGCACGTGTCGTAGCCATGACGAAAGTCTCTCTTTCTTCTTCCGAGATACGGACTTCTTATCCATCCCACAGTCATTATGGCTGTCAAGAAGTACGTACAGATCTAAGCGAAAGGAGGATCTATAGAGTAGTCTACTATCAGAATGGGTTCCCTTCTTGAAGACTGACCGGCACGATGGCAAAGCAGATTGGGCGTCGATCTGTTCCACTCCACGTGTTGGAAGCTTGACCGCTTGGGTCTTCGGATGGAGACTCATCAGTCTCACAATTTATCTGTGCACTTTCATGATCTTGCCTCAACTAAACCATCACAATAGACCTTATGGAATTCTTTTAAAGCCCGAGGAGCAGGTTCCTCAGAATGGCAGGTTATATAGCAGCAACAATAACCTCCAATTGCTTGTCTTGCTTCAATCTCTTGCTCTCTCACCTGAATGGACTGCGCGGAAGGCGGCAAGTACCGGCGTATCTAAATACAGCCCATCGCGTATGCGGACCGTACAAACATACGTGAACGGAAACGCGATTACGGCATGTATATGGAACGTCCGTAATTTGGGTCGGTCGAACTCTCTCAGCACTGACTGTCATGGGGGAAGCTCGAGCCATCTGACGTCAAAGTCAACTAGCCTTTCCCCGCCACACCGCTCCTCGTCGACATTTCAGTATGAATTTAGAAATTCTTTTATTTTCTATCCCCTCCGGCAGGCTCGTTTTGATGTGCAATGTTACAGGAATGCGTCGGCGATCTGATCTAGAAGGATATCCTCGTCTCTGTCGCTCAGAGATGTTGCTTTAGCCTGCTCTATACTTTCTTAAATGACCAATTACGTATTTCTTGTGTCAATTCTCTCTCAGATTTTCCGTAAAATTGTAGTTGTATCGGAAGGCAGTGCGGTCCGTGGAAGTACCATGTCACAGCCTAAGGCACTAACAGGCGCCGAGGCTTTGTGAAGATCCCACTAACCATTCCACCGGGAACTTCTATCTACATATTCATCTACGAATGAACTCGCTTGCCTCCCCTCGATGATGGGGCATCCTTATGGTAACTTATATGTCTTCCGTGTGATGAACTGCTTCAAGCAATATATCCTCTCGTCAATTGTTATGTGCTACAAGCTAACCTCTCTCAGTGAACAACTAGGCGGCTGCCTTTTGATGTGTACATCCTCCAACCTGGTAAGCGTTGCTTTCGAGTTCCTGCTCCTACGGAGTAAGTATAGCTCGTTTGTATCATCTCTTCTGGCCTTCTACTTTACTGTCCAACTTAGGTGACTGTATGGTTTGCAGTTAAAGGACGCATGAAGACCGATATCGACCGATTTTCTTCGTGGCTGGAAATTGCCTTCCACATAATTCCTATTGCAACCCCATGCGAGTGAACTCAG